AAGTAAACATTAATATGTAGTCTGTATGGCAAAGTGTAAAGTAAATATTAATATGTAGCCTGTATAGCAAAGTGTAAAGTAAACATTAATATGTAGTCTGTATGGCAAAGTGTAAAGTAAATATTAATATGTAGCCTGTATAGCAAAGTGTAAAGTAAACATTAATATGTAGTCTGTATGGCAAAGTGTAAAGTAAACATTAATATGTAGTCTGTATGCAAAGTGTAAAGTAAACATTAATATGTAGACCATTAAGGTTGTCAGTATCTTAGACCTAACCACCTGGCCATGCTAAACCCTTCACCATTAAGGTTGTCAGTATCTTAGAGACCTAACCACCTGGCCATGCTAAACCCTTCACTATTAAGGTTGTCAGTATCTTGGGAAAACCCGATTAAACCACTTTATATAACGGTAAGTTTGGCAGATTAGAAGCTCTTCTATTCAACCATTTTTAGCTGTTGGTTTTAACACTTTTCAAAGTTGAGCTTCATTAGTAATTGTTCACACCACACATTATAAAAAAGTGACAACAAAAGAGAAAGTTACATGAAAAACAAGACCAAATTATTATACTTTCAGGTGGTGATAGCTTCGAAGCAAATATAAATCTATACCTTAATATAAATAGCCTGAAATAGACAGCACTTTGTTGATTATCACAAGGTTATACTTACCTCCCCCTGATATGATTGGAGACCACTTAGGTCTGTACTCTTGCTGTCTTAGATAGACACTGAATATACCCTCTGGGGAAGAAAGAAAAAAAAACATGTTAGAACCTGCTCTGTCACTGAATATATCCTGTGGGTGAGGAAGATGAAAAGTATGAAGCTTTTAATGATTGATTTATACTTCTAGCTGATGAAGACACTGTAGGTTATGTTGTACGAAGAGCTGTAAACTTATAACTTTAAAACACGTATATAACTAGAAAAGACTGACACATGCTACTGACAGTACAACCTTGCATCATTTCTTTAATATTTTCTTCATCCTTTATTGTCCACCTCATCAAAAGATGTATTGTGAATAACTGAACTTTGTATATTTCATTTATTTAAAAAGTTTAAAACAGGCTAGCTTTTATAAATCCTCTTGTGCCCTTTAACTGGGCTCCTTATAATAGTGCATAGAAGAAACAATCAAATAAGGGAAAAAAAGAACCTTTAACCTTTTGTAGTGAAAAACACACAATATCAAGATAAAAGCGAAAGCATTTCTTGTCAGGTTTTTAAAATATATCTTCAGTTCTACTCTGATTGTTATTGATGTTTGTATTAAAAGTTTTTAAACTTCAAAAGTTATCTAATAAAGAAAATTTGTATACTAGTGAATACTGTCTTTCCTACCTTCTGCTGCCTTTTCCAGAAGATTTTCACAGGCACTAAAATTACCATCCGTAACCTGAGGGTACAAATAGAAACATAAAAATATAGAATTTCTGAAGAGTCGATACATTTCAACACTCAAAACTAAACAAAAAACATCCATCTTACCATTCATAACATAAAAAAAAAGATGAATTTTTATGAAAATTACATCATAAACTCACCAATAACTTGTAGAGCCTTGACAGCATTTCATCTTCTAGCTGGACTCGTGTTTTTTTCTGAAGAGATTCAAATGCTTCCGTGTAGTTCTGCTGCCTAAAGTGTTTCAAACAAAGCCTTATTGCTTCCTTTTCCCTGTACTGGGAGACGTTACGAAAAGTAGATATGAGAACTTGAGTATCATATAACAGTATCCTTTATTAATTTAAGTTTCTACGTACAGAGACAGCCCTAGAAAAATATCACTTCCTACCATACTCCATTATCTCTGAAGTAATACACTTCTCCATGATTAATTTATTACAACTGTTCACTGAATGGCCAGGCTACAAAATATTCTAGTATAGTTGTTAATAACTCTTGGTTTGTTTCTAGAAAGTTCCTTTTAATATTAATTCTTCCTTAACTAACAAAATTTAGTACTGATTGTGATAAATGGATTACTTGACATAACCCGAGACACGTTACTTAACAAACAACTGGAGGTATATTTCTTCTAGAATCTTTTTTATTTTAGGAAGGTATTTTTTATTAAAAATAAGCTTAACTAACAAGCCACCTACTGTTTAACTTATTAGTTATTCTGTGAAACATTTGTTTTTCTTAATTCAAATGCTAGTATTAGGGCCATCTGGTGATAAAATAGTATAACTAAGTAAAATAATTATAGTCCAATGTTCAGAATCAAGTCATTCATTTTGAAATAATGCATACACTTTTTGGTTATAAGGAAGTACTTAAATGTTTTAAAACTGTAGCTCCAACATGCTATAAAGTTTCCTTGAGTTACATTTATAGAGCTTTGTTTTTACTGTTTATAAAAACGTTTTGGAGAAAAACAAAAACACTTAAAACTTACATGATTAAACCAGCTAATGCACGGCCGAATAACCTCTATGTCATCATTTCCACAAAGCTCTATGTGCCAAATACTGAAGTTAAAACTTGGGCCCCATGACTGGATTGGAACTTTTAAAATTAAGAACAAAAATACGCTTTACAATATTATATCCTAAAGTACTACACATTTCAAGTTATGTACCATCACAAAATTTATAACCACTGCATACATTGTTTTTGCCAAAAATTGAAAACATTGTTAAATATAGGCCTAAAAAACAAACAAAAGTTTTACGTCATTTCCTTATCTTATCACAGACTAACGAGATTAAACTAGTAATATATATCAGAATTGCTCATAACTTCATACATCTGTGTACATATAAATCATGATGGACAGAATATGATAATGTTCTTCAGAACTCCCTTTTTTTTAACTGTAACAATTTTCAATTTCACCCCTGCTTACAAGATCCTCTCCCATCTACGTTTTTGTTTTCAATGTTAAATTTAAAGTACAAAAATAAACTTGCAAAAAGGAAAGAAAATAGGACGAAAGAGCTCGGATAGTCGCAGTTACAAAACTCTATAACCCAAACGTCAAAGTATACAAGAAAAACTGGTAATTACTGTTAAAGTTTTCTTACTCGGTAGATTATTCAAATTTAGATATTATGCTGATTTAACACTGCCATTTTGCTGTTTAATACTAAAGAAATCTCTCTGAATTTCACTGTTGGCTCTCTGTTAACCAATGTGAATGAGTTCTGAATGTAAGCAAGCTAAATCTGATTTAGGTTATATCTTGTTATCACTAACAAACACACAAAGTTTCACTCGATCTGCTATACTTATCCTTCCCCTGGTTGGCTTAGCACCCAGAAGTGTTTATTTTAATTTAGTTGTGCTGTTAAGACTATCACACACACTGATGCATCTTTAATATGGTGATTATCAAGGACACCAGACAGTAGTTGTACACTATTTAAAAATGCCTCGTGTCTATTTAACACATCTCTTTCTTTACACGTTTACTGATAGCTGTGTATCATATACATAATTCAACATTAAAGGTATATTCATGTTTTATTACTTCACTAGAGACATGCCTAGACTAACCATCTGACACATGGTTCATAATTAAATACTCAAATCAATTTCAAGCACTTTTGGAAGCTAAAAATCTACATCAAAATCAAACTGAAATTTTATAAAACTCCTGTTTATTTGTTCAACACATGAATGTGCACTAAAATGAAAAGAAAGACTTTATTTATTGTGCTCAACTCCACAACATGCATTAAGTTGGATATATCAATAAATATTCTGCTGTTATAGTATTTTCAAGTACTTTCAAGCTTTGAAGTTCCATTCTCAATTTCAAGAGCTTTCACTTTGCTATACAGGCTACATATTAATGTTTACTTTACACTTTGCTATACAGGCTACATATTAATGTTTACTTTACACTTTGCTATAAAGGCTACATATTAATGTTTACTTTACATTTTGCCATACAGACTACATATTAATGTTTACTTTACACTTTGCCATACAGACTACATATTAATGTTTACTTTACTCTTTGCCATACAGACTACATATTAATGTTTACTTTACACTTTGCCATACAGACTACATATTAATGTTTACTTTACACTTTGCCATACAGGGGCCATGCTAGACCCTTCATCTTAGACCTAACCACCTACTGGCAGCCTTAATGGTGAAGGGTCTAGCATGGCCAGGTGGTTAGGTCCAAGATACTGACAACCTTAATGGTGAAGGGTCTAGCATGGCTAGGTGGTTAGGTCAAAAATACTGGCAACCTTAATGGTGAAGGGTCTAGCATGGCCAGGTGGTTAGGTCTAAGATACTGACAACCTTAATGGTGAAGGGTCTAGCATGGCCAAATGGTTAGGTCCAAAATACTGGCAACCTTAATGGTGAAGGGTCTAGCATGGCCAAGTGGTTAGGTAATACAAAGTTTACAATGCTGATCTGGTAATACAAAGTTTACAACACTGATCTGGTAATACAAAGTTTACAACACTGATCTAGTAATACAAAGTTTACAACACTGATCTAGTAATACAAAGTTTACAACACTGATCTGGTAATACAAAGTTTACAATGCTGATCTGGTAATACAAAGTTTACAACACTGATCTAGTAATACAAAGTTTACAACACTGATCTGGTATTACAAAGTTGACAATGCTGATCTGGTAATACAAAGTTTACAATGCTGATCTGGTAATACAAAGTTTACAACACTGATCTGGTAATACAAAGTTTACAATGCTGATCTGGTAATACAAAGTTTACAACACTGATCTGGTAATACAAAGTTTACAACACTGATCTGGTATTACAAAGTTGACAATGCTGATCTGGTAGTACAAAGTTTACAACACTGATCTGGTAATACAAAGTTTACAACACTGATCTGGTAATTTTTTTTAGTTTAACTTTTCATTCTTGACAATTATATTTATGTTAAGTTATATCAGTTTCGAGAGTGCTGTAATTTTCTTCTCTGACATCAGGCACAGTTAGCTTGAGCCATTACAGTAAGTTATTCAGATGACTTAAGTCCTTTTTTTTTTATTGAATATTGTATTTATGTTTATCATTTTAAACAATACAATAAAAAATAATTTATTGTTTATTGAAAACAAATTGTATTAGATACTAATTTATCCCAGTAAAGAATATTGTTGTAAAAACTATTTATCTGTAGGGGTGAGATAATCAACAGTAACTTAAATATGTTTTTAATTTTATTGTAGAAAGTTCACAGACTGCTCCAGGCATGAGAGGAGGCCACCAGATGTGCATTGATGTTCATTCAGGTAATATAGTTCCGACCCTCGATAGAATGTTATCTGATAATCAGCAGCTAATTGTGTCTGGTGATCAGAACATTGGACAACCTTACACTCACAAAATAATTTAACCCTGTTTTTTAATACCTGAATCAAGTCACATATAACAAAAACTAAGGTATGGTTAGGTGAAAACAATTTTATCTCCAAAATAAAAAAAGAAACTTCCTGTCAACGAAAGAAATTGTTTTGGTTTTGGTTTATACAGGCTCTCCAGCGTTCCTAGTATTTCCTAGTTTTCCTAGTATTTCCTAGTTTTC